TAGCTGCACAGGCGAAAGGGTCGGCAGGCGCCACCTTAGCTTTCTGATCTTTCCTGGGTGCAGAGGCGGGAATAGGAGGAACTGTTCTGGCATGACGGGGCCCATCCCGATTCTCCGACTGACTTGAACTCCTCTCAGGTGGAGTGGGGAAAGCATCCTCCACAGTCTTTGCCACAACTGCGGATATCTGTTGCTTGTTCATCCCCCCGGCTTTCAAAGCCTCGACTGCCCACAGCAGTTGTTCAATAGGATCGGCGTCTGCCTTCATTTTGTCTTTTCCTTCGGCCTCAGCCTGATCGAGGGTTTGAGTTGATGTTGATACGTCATTGCCATAGTTGGAGGCCATCTCCGGTTGGGTAAGTTCAATCACAATTCGCCCCAACAGCGGGGGCTCTTGGGGTACAAAGCTCCCGGCATACAGTGTGGCTGGCGGTGAAGCTGACATTCCATAGGCGAGATCCACCACAGACCTCTAGAGATCACCTATTATCCCCATCAGTTCAAATGTAGTAGGCTCGTGAGCCTGATATAGCTGGGGGGCCCAGACCGAGTGCATAACAGGCGACCTGGGTGGATGTGACACATCAGTGTTGGCCTCACTTTGCAGAGTGATCCCCTGCTCCAATGCGGCCGTCATAACTATGATCTCTTCTGAATTCTGCGTCATCATAAGCCCTGCCTCGGCAAAGGGGAAGCACTAGCTATTTTGTACCGGCTCTGGACGCTCTGAACTGAAAGGAGAAACAAACAGCATTTCAGCCCAAACATATCAAACACGGGTGTAGCTGAACAACTGTACTCTACTGCTGATCATTGTTCCCAGAAATCACTGTTCCCGAAAACTGAACCCTGATACCCGCAGATAACTGATTCTCATAACTGACACTGATACTGGTGTCCTCAGATCTGATACTCAAACTTGCAGACTGATATATACTTTCCCTGTAGAAATACATTCTAAAAGCACATAGCAAGTAAAGAGAGCCAAAACACCCCTATGTTGGGGTAGGGTTTCCCTGTCCTATTTTGTCAGGAACTAGGGTTTCACTATGCACGCAGCAGTTTTCAAACAACCTAACATCGGGTAAGCAGCCTGTCCTAACTTGGAATGGTCACTATGGATCCGAATATGCACTAGGTCGAATGGCCGAAAAGGGTGCCCCGGTAAACCGGGGTTTGTGTTCCCATGCTATCAGAGCCCATAACCGGTCAGCTTTATGGTCATGCCTTGACAAGACAAGCCTCCGGCAAACCGTTCAGGAATGGCAGATGGCAAACACTGTGTTCCTAGGCGCACCAATGCACATGCAATGCAAAGAGACACATAAGTGTAATCAAAACAGGATATCACGAGTTCGAGTCAAGCTCTCTAAAATCCCAGTAGAGTCGCCAGAAACTGTGGACGCTGTAACAAGCCCGCGGGGGACCTCGCTACAGCTCGGACTCGACTTTCGCAGTCACGGTTCTAAATCTGAACCAAAGAGTCCAAATCCGGCAAATCATTTTGAGAAACAGATTTTTTTGAAAAGAAGTGCCAAACATGGACTGCTTTGCCAGATACAGAGTCGCCACCTAAATATTTTTAAAATGGGAAATTTAGGAAACCCTGACTCGGTGCCAAAAGGCCACATGTCCGTCATCACCAAAGTTGCCTCGGCTCGGGAACTTGGGTACGATCGGGGAAGGTCAAAAAAAAATAAAAATAAAAAAAAAACACAAAACAAAACAAAACACAACCAACACAAATCGGAACAGTGGGATTTTTCTTCTCGCCTATTCTGCCGGTCTTTTCTTCTTGCCACCGTCTTGGGCGGCCGTTGCCGGTGTTGCCTCCGTGCTTCCTAGACCACCAAGCAAGTTGCCTCCTCCCTGCTCCTCCACTACAGCATATGGCGGACCTCCAAATCGGAACATCACGGTGGCCTTCCGCTTCAGCTCCTTGTTTTCTGCCTTTAGCACACTTATCTCTGCTCGCGCATCCTTATACATGCGTTGGAGCAGAGCCAGTTGGGCGTTTAGCTGCTGCACCTCATTTGTTCTACTCTGCAGCCGGTTCGACAAATTTGTAACCGCAGTCATGGTTTCCACACATGACTTCAATGTATACTGATTGGCCTCCACATCCGACTGCACTGCCATTCTTTGCTCCACAGACCGCATAGGAAAGTTCAACGGAGCAAACTCCGGGGCGCTTGGTTGAGGTTCCAGTGCCACCGCACCAGTTCTCTCTTTTGTTGACTCGTTGAGGTCGGGAAAGAGAGTGAGCAGACCACGAGAAGAAGAGGCTATGTTTTGGGTAGCTAAACGGGAAGAAGAAGCCATGTTTTTTGGGTTGCTGAGTGTTTCAGAGCAGGGTTGGTTACAGAATGTTACAGAGAACGAAGAGGTTTCAACTGGTTTGTTATGCTTCCAAGCCTCAGACTTCGCTTTGGTTTATAAAGACAGAGACGACGAGGCCGACACGCGCTCTGTCAATCACGTGCATCGCCGCGTGTCAGGCGCCCCTTTTGATGGCTCGACGCTTTCTGTCGGGCACGTCTTTTGATGAAGTGGGCGCGCCTTTTGATGGCACGCCTTTTTTATGGATTGTGCACGCCTTTTGATGGCACGCCTTTTGAAAAATTGGGCACACCTTTTGAGGGTGCGACTTTTACATGGGTCCGACACGACTCAGTAAACTGTCCCGACATTGATTCCGGTTAGCTCCTTCATGGGTCTGACAAGACTCTGTAAACTGTCCCGACATTGATTCCGGTTAGCTTTTACAGGGGTCCGACAAGACTCTGTAAACTGTCCCAACATTGATTCCGGTTAGCTCCTTCATGGGTCTGACAAGACTCTGTAAACTGTCCTGACATTGATTCCGGTTAGTTTCTACAAGGGTCCAGCAAGACTCCGTAAACTGTCACAACAACCGTCACAACATTGTCTGCTACAACGGTCCGACATGACCCCATAAACTGTCTTTTACATCGGTCTGCCATAACCATACAGTCTTCTACAACGGTCTGACACGACCATACAGTGTCTCCTATCCTCTTTTATTTTTATGTATTTTCTTGTTTTGTTACTCTCTCCAAACTCAAGTTGGTTAGTTCCTATCCCCATTGAGTTTGCGGGGCTGTTAAAACCTACCATCACCTACTACACCTACCACCACCTACTACCACCTACTACACACCTACCACTACCACCTACTCCACTACATCTCCTATATAAGGAGCCACTCACCATTTGTAATATATAATATAAATCAATCAATAATACATCAACAAAAAGACAAAATATACTTTTTAATCTAATAAGACAAAATATCACATCTAAATCATAATTATTTCATTTTTTCTCTCACAGAAGTAAAAAAAAACTCGGCCTAAAATAGTCAAAAAAATCAAAAAGTCAATCCTCAACTCAAGCGAAGGCAATGTGCACGAAAGCAAGGCATAATAGTGTCCACAATAGATAACAGGCATAAGAAAATTGCTTCCATCTCATTAAAAAAACTGTCAACCCTAACTTCTTCCTCCTACATTGGAAGAAATGGGTCGAAATCAAAACCCCAGCCAGTTTTTGACTAACAGAGTGTGGGTGGCATTGGCCTTCATACCCAATCCCTCTATGCTTTTCATAAACACCGATTCACACATAAACCGAGCAAACGTATCATTTTGAAAATAAATTTTGACCTTTAAATCAGAAACATGTAGCAAAAAACTTGTCAAAAAATGCTTTGGAAAAAGAATGGTATCGTTAACCATCTCGCTTCAATAAAAGGTGAACACAGAATCACATTTGTCCAATTCACACTGAATATCTGACCATAGTGAGAATCCAATTAACTGCTTCATATAATGCAATTTCCATCATAGCACAAAAAGATGTTCATTAGCTATAAATCAACAAAAAATACAGGGAAACTCCAAAAATCACAGTAGTTAGGTGCACCACACTAAATCAAATCCAAGTCATTCAAGTACTGATAAAGCCATACCCAAAATTTTAAAACAAAACAGAACACAGGAAAAAAAGTAACTATAAAAGATAATGCAGAAGGCAATCCTATTGGGACATACAGATTTACTACATAAGACACTACCATGAGAAGCGTTATCTAAAACCTTCACACAACCTGTGCTCGGAAAGGTAATCTTCACAGTTTGCATCACGTAACAAGTCAACTAAGCAAGCTAGTCTTTCCACAATTCTTTTAAATACTTTTTCCCAAACTTATCTTTTCTAGAATTTCAAATGTTAAACAACCCTCGCCCTTCAGCAGACCCAATATCTTGCTTACTTCCAGCACTAGTAGCTTCACTTTGCCGCATGTGAAGTCCACTGCGTCCACCAGACTTCATGCCAAGCTGGCTGTGCAAGGCTTCTTGTTGTTGCAGTGCCAAAAACTGCTGTTGGCTGTAGAGCATAGAGGAACTTGCAGCCATGAGCGATTGTGGAGGTATCTGTTGAGCTTGCTGGTGCTGAAGGTAGTGAGATCCTGGATGCATAACGCCACTGGAAGGGAACTATCAGGCATTGAACAAACATGGATCAGAAATTTTCACAAGCAAATTTCTAGCATACTGGTATTCAAATTTCTAGCAAGTAGCCTTCTTTGAAACTAACCAGAAGTTGGACGCTTTAAACCAGTGGTAACAAAAAAATTGAAGGGCAAATTTCACTTTATCCCCTTGTGGTTTGGCCCTTGTGTGACTTACCCCTTATCATTTAGAAATAATCACATTACCCCCGTGTGGTCTGTAAAACTAACGTGCACTGTCAAGCCTGCTAACAGCTTAAGAGAAAATTCTAAAATACCATTGTACACAAGTAACCTCATTGTGCAAACCACAGATATTTTCGTCATTTCTTTGAAGACAAAATTTGCTAACCCCCTCTACTTTACTCCATATGTAATTTCCCCTCGACATTAGGAAATGAGCACATAACTCCCTTATGTCGTAGCACGTGTTTCACACTTGTTATTAATTTGGACGGAATGTTTGATAGTGCACTTTAATCCACAAGCCACATGGTGGTTATGTGATTGTTTCCAAATGATAGGGGAATAAATTGCACGAGCCAAACACAAGGGGGTTAAAGAGAAATTAACCCAAAATTCAATACTCCCTCCGTCCCAAAATATTAGTCCCTTATTCTATTTTTCATTGTCCCAAAATATTAGTCTCTCTTCAAAAATCAAGTACAAAAATAATATAAATTCCCTATTTTACCCTTCTTTTAAATTAATAAACAATATAAAAAGTACAATTATGACATTGATATTCCCCAAAAAATGCACTATCAAAGGGTAATTTTGGAAAATCAACTTTTTTAAAGTGCAATAATTGTACTACCAAAAAAAATTGAATTCCCCAAAAGGGACCATTATTTTGGGACGGAGGGAGTATAAGCAATGGGAAAAACTTAGGGATGAAATCCAAGAATGTAACAGAACAGTGGAAAGGGAATGCAAGGAAAAACAAATTAAAGAAGTGCAAGTTATCCAATAAGATTTTAGGTTACCCTTTGGCTATCATGTTAATTATGTACCAAACAGCCAGCAATAAATATAAAAACTAATATATTCTGATGGTGCTGCTTACTTGAGAATGCATGGTATGAGGTTGAGGCTGCGAATCAGCAATGGCAGCTAGGTACATTAGGTTTTTCTGAAGCCTTGCCTGGTTCCTGCCATAATAGAGAGAGGATTACTTGTGAATATAGCAGTTCCACAACCACAATGCAAAATTTCAAGCTATGGATGACCAACATGAACCTAAATTAGTGACGTTTAGGAAGTGAAGCACATATCTTTTCTGCCAATGCTAAAAACACATGTTACAACATGATGCATGCTAAGGCCGAAACATGGGATTACAAGACAAGTGTATGGAGCATACAAGGCATGTCTAAACCAACTTAAAACAGTGCTATATCATGGCAAAACAAAGCCTAATATGCATTGAAATGAAGCTAAAGCAAGCTAGGCACACATGCTACAACACAAGCCACTTATGCACGCATCAAAGACAACATGGAGAGGGGATGACCCTCTCCCATTTAGGACCTCAAAACCACGTCTCCAACACTAAAAATCCTCTGGGTTTCAGTGGTAGAGAGGTCATGCAAAGCTCAAAATAATGGCCAAAAGGTATGGCCTTAAACAAGGCCTAACAATGCCTTAGATGGGGGAAACAACCCCAAACCTCAAAGAGACCTTAAACAAAGATCAAAAGCAGGTAAAACAGAACTTTTCTTAGTTTATAGCTAAGCTTAAAAACGGATGCAAGATAGGTTAAAAGCCTATGCAAAAATGGGGAATAAAGGGAATAGTTCTCACCCTTGTAGACCTTCTTCAAGAAGACCACTCCAGCACCTTCCTTGGGTCAAAACTAGCTCAAAAAACTTCAAGAACAACCCTTTGGCACCTCAGCAACCAAGGTATGGTGTAATACTATGTGTCTTAGTGAAAAACTAAGAACAAAAAACCTTTTAGCACACACAAATCAAAAGGAGAGGGAGATATAGAGATAGATAGATATAGGATTCTCTAATCCTAATCTCAAACCTCTGGAACTTTCTGGAACCCTTGAGGAGGGAGGAGAAGCCCTCCCTTTATAGGAATTCCAATCTTGTAAAGCTTACAAAACAAGCTAAGTAAGAGGAAAATCCCTCCATACACGTGTATGGAGGGGGGGCACTGTGGATGCCAGCTATCACTGCTGGCATAAAATATCTGCCAAAAGTAGATGAACAGTGGTCGGCCAGCCAAAAAATGACAAATTGACCAAAACAATGGTAGGCCGACCATAAAGAGTGCCGACCGGCCATCACCAAAGGCCGGTAGCAACAAAACAAGGCGGTGGCTTCAAGCCATGGCCGGTGAGGTGTGGGGATGGCCAACAAGCCATTTCCCACCCTCAGAAGCAAAACAACAAGTGTTTGGTGGAAAACCAAACACAAAACAAGCAAGTCGAGAGATCCCAAGACAAGGCGCGTAGCTGAGACCTCCGAGTACTCAAAACGAACATGAACATGGATGATCACCGAGTGTTCAAACGGTGACGTCCGAGTCTTGAGGACGGTCAAAAATGGGGTGTCTAAAGTTGCCCCTCTTTGACAGAACTCGAAAGTCATAACAATGACGGGAGTGAGTGTCAAAGCCCAAAGACGACCCATTTTTGACAAGGCCGAAGACTTAGAGAAAGCATACAAGCTACAGACGAAGATATGCGCCCGAAGGCAGGGGCAAAATGCAAGAACAATGCACAAAGCCGAACATAACTTATGATCATGCAAAGAAAGCCGTAACGAAGCAAACACATACAATAAATGCGACAGTTTTAAGCAAGCCAAAAACCAAACAACATTACAACGCAGAAAGGATGTATGAGAATTATGTAATTCTCGCTACGTTTGACGCGGAGAATACAATACATGTGCGGTTCGTCTGGTCGTGCCAGCTTCAAATGAACCGTACATACAATATCATTCCTGTCCGGTTCGTCTGGTCGTGCCAGCCTCAAATGAACCGTACATACAATATCGTGCCTAAAAAAAAAGAGAACTTAACAGGTACAATATCGTTAGATACATGCATAGCAACGCAAGTGAAAAGTGCGTGACAACGCGAGTGAGAGGGTGCATGATAATGTAGGTAGAAGGGGTGCATAACAACGCAACCCGAGTGTGTGCATAACAATGCGATTTGAAACAAGCGTAACAATGCTATGAAGGTACAAACACATATAAGTAATGTATACGCGACAACGTGTACAATGTGTGAAGGTGAGGAAAAGTATACACATGTAAGTAAAGCTCATGCGACAACATGTACAATGTGTGAGGCAATTGTGAAGATAAGTGTGAACACATGCAAGTAAAGCATGCGCAACAACGCATGTACAATGTGTGAAAATGTGAGCAATGTGTATGACGAGAGACACTTGAACACGTATAAGTAAAGTACACATGACAACACATACAATGTGTATAGGAACTTGAACACATATAAGTAAAGCACGACGCGACAACGCATGCAATGTGTATAGGAACTTGAACACATATAAGTAAAGCATAACGCGACAACGCATGCAATGCGTGTGCGGAAGGATGCAAGACAATGCAACCTAAGAATGCGAAATAACGCGGGTGGACAGGAGGATGCAAGACAATGCAACCTAAGAATGCGAAACAACGCAGGTGGACCGGAGGATGCAAGACAATGCAATCTATATTCTGTATGCAATGGATGGAATGGATAAGGCACGCGGCCGAATCGTATCTTGCCTAGGAAAGGCATGGACACAAACAAACCACGTTTAACACGAAAGCGGTGCCGTCACCCTCAACATTAGGTGCGTACACATAATATTATAACCGTGCTTCAACGTGAAAAGTATGGGCACATACCAAACCAAGCTCAACAGGGAAAGGCGCAAGTGATAGAATGGAGGATGCAGCAAATGCATGCAAACTACAATGCAATATATGGAAATGTACGACAATGCACCTGGTTTGAAATGCATGATAATGCGAATGAAAGATGCACGACAATGCATGTTGTTGAAAGTGTGTGACAATGTGGGTGAAAATGCATGATAATGCAAAATGAGAAACATGCATGACAATGCAAGATAGGGAAATGCATGACAATGCATGTGAGGTGCTCATGACAATGCGAGATGCTGAATGCATGATAACGCAAACTATTGGAATGCACGATAATGCAAATGAGGCACGCGTGACAATGTTGGATGTTGAAATGCATGACAATGCATATAATTGAAATGCATGACAATGCAAATGAATTTGAACGCGTGACAACGCACGCTTCTTGAGATGCATGACAATGCAATTGAACTCGAATGCGCAACAACACACGTTTCTTGAGATGCATGACAATGCAATTGAATTGGAATGCGCGACAACGCACGTTTCTTGATATGCATGACAATGCAATTTGTGTATGTTTATCATAAACAAGACAACACACGTACTGCAACGCATTCAAAGAAGTTATTGAATCTCCCAAGATACTAAAGGATACGAAAAAGGATACACCATGCGCGTATCGAGTGCTACGCACAAAAGACACGGTCCGAGGTCAAAACGGAGATTGGTTAAGCTTCAAAAATGCAGTTTCTTGCACTGTCTTGAGCAAATAAGGCCCCAAACCACATATCTGACCCAAACATGGGTGTAGGAGGTGCACCGACCACCAGGGGAGACCACCGGCCATCCACCAGCCAACAATGTGGCCGACCGGCCAAAAATGCCTGTTCGGGGTAGTTTTGTCCTTTTGGCCACGGGTCTTTAAATACAGGGCTTCTAGCCCTATTTCTTCACTTGCCTCTTGGTCAAAAATCTCTCCCCTCTCTCTCTAGGGTATTTTCCAACCTTCATTCCTCGTTTTTCCTCAGTTTTTGAGCTCGTTTCGTCGTTCGATTCGCGAACACCTCCTCGTTTCGCACGTTTTGAACCGAACAAATCTTGGTTTCGATGCATTTTTCTCGATTTCCACCACTCGGGGTTTGTTTCCCTCGAGTTTACCTTGATTCTCATGCCTTTTCCGCACTTCGAGCTTTCCGCCCATTTTTCACCCTCTTGGGGTTGACTTTTCAGTTGACTTTTCACATTCTCGCCCGGTTTTCACACTTCCGGCCATTTTCGCACCCTTCTCGACATGGAAGACGATCTTCCACGGGGTGGGGCACCCCCGGAGATGGATGTTGACCCCAAGGTCGAGCTCCTACCTCTCCACATTTGGCCGTTCGATCCGGCGACCTACTGGCCGGCGATACACGTGCTTCCTCCTGACAGCCTTCGCCACTTCCGGAGCCATGCACGAGGCGCGCCACCGGAGCTTCTACTGCGCAAGCCAGAGTCACATCTGTCCTATGGCGCTTCTGAGGTAACTCTTTCCTGTTTCATTTTCTGCAAAGTAGAATACATAACTGCAATAGTTGATTCTGCTCTTTAAATGTTTGGTCTGGATACACCAATTCATTGCATGCTGTAGTTCACTGCGAGCACATCCGCACCTGATATCTATTTGAATCTGAACACGTGCACACACGCTGTATTTTCACTGAACCATTCAAACACACTGATACATCACATGCTGTAGTTCACTGCGAGCACACCTGCACCCAATATCTGTTTGAATCTGAACACGCGCACGCACGCTGTATTTTCATCAATTCTGAGTGCTTCCAACGCTGTATTTGTAACACTACTTCACAAATGTTTGTTTTGACCGCAGGGGGATTTCCATGCGTTCCGGGGGTATGGGAATGTTGCCGCCAGGGCTTGGTACATGGAGCTGCCCGATGCGGTTCGTCGCATCGTTGACCGAGCTGGCTTTGGGACTTTTTGCATGGGACTCTCGCACTTCACTGCGAATAGGCCTCTCCTTGCTGCCCTGGTGGAGAGGTGGTGGGACACCACCGACTCTTTCCACCTTTCCGTCACTGGGGAGATGTCGACGACTCCTTTCGACTTCTCCATGCTCATAGGTATCGGAGTGGGGGTGATCCGATCCCCTTCGATACTGATATGGACGAGTGGGATACCGCTCAGATGTACCTGCTCGGCGCTCAGCCAACTCTCATTCGGGCAGGGTTCGTGTGATATTCATGGTTCGAGGACCATTTTCAGATCCAGGCACCTACTACCCAGGAGGAGGAGGAGCAGTACGCCCGGGGCTTCATCATGTTCTTGTTGGGAACCACTCTGTTTGCCAACCGGGCAAACACC